TTGTAATGAGGCTTTTTTTTTTGTCGCGTGTAAGAGAAATATATATATAGATTGAATTAGGGCGGGCAACAACCTGCATGATTTTCTTACAACAAAATACGTTTCAGAATAATTAAGAACTTTTCTCCTTAAAACATAATTTAATATTTTTCTTTTGTTACGGCTTAACTAGATTCATGATATAATTTTAATAAGAGAAACAGCAGCATAAAATATATATGCAATTGCAACTTTGCTCATTAGCTAGCATTACATTTAACCGTAGTCCATATATTCCTTCGCTTTAATTTAGATTTGAGTTCAAATACCCTTAGCTATTCACAGACATTCCGTCAACCCTGTTCTCACAATACTAGTAAGTAAGCCTTAATCTTGGTGTAGGGATCAATACAATAATGACGTATAATAATTCGTTAGGTATTACCTAATAACTATATAAATTTAAATAAAGGTTGACATTTATGAGATATGGTATTTTCGATACCTAAAGTTTCGATAGTTAAAGTTCGATTTCACCGTCTAAATGCAAATATTAAAGATACAAAAACTTTGTTTATGACAAATTGAAAACTACAACATATATATATATTTAATATTTAAATAGTACTTTTGTATCAGAATACCGAGCATTTGTATTGTATATTGATTTTGCGATACTGAATTCAGAGTTATGTTTTAAAAAAGAAAGAAAGAAAACACAGCGTTTCCCCTCAAAAATTTAAGTAATGCAAATTAGAAAACTATTTATTTATTGTAGTTCAGAATTTTAAATTTTTTTATTCCGAAAATATTTTAATTTTATCTTTTGAATTGGAATACTTGATCTTGTTAAAAAAAATTTTATGCCTGGAAAATTTCACTTAAAAAACAATTATTTTCTTTTACGATTGATTTTCTTTTACACTTGAATACGCCCTCTAGCGGGGAGGATATTTTCAGGCTACTATTTATTAAGTTTTCATTTAGTTCTATCACAATCATTGATATAGTAGGACGCCTTTGACCCAGAACATTAGTAAATCATTCTAAAACAGAACGCGCCCAACATTTGGAGAATAATTTCTCAATAATTGTTTCCTTTCTTTTAACAACAAACTGGCAACCGATAACTTCAGATTTTGTGATCGCATACAGTTACAGATGCGTTTAAGACGATAAAAAAATTATTTTTTTGTCTTCAATACATTATAAATTGAAGTGAAGTCAACATTTCTTATTTCATTCCAATGAGTAAATATGATTTCAGAACGTGCAGAACTGTAATACTTATAGAATATTCTTCTTCTTCTTAGAATAGTATATGTTTCTGTATCTATATAATTCGGAAAACAACAATAAAGAATAATCCAAATTACCTGTAATAGTATCATTTGTGTTGATTATTAAGAAGTTTTTATCGTTTTCTTGGTAAGTATTTTTTAATTTTAAATGATTAATTTCAACTAGAATTCAGCAATTTTTTTTTAAAGTTACCCTTTGAAATTCGTATCGAGATCTTACGAGTACAATAATAAAATTTTATTGTATGGTTTGTCATCTTAAAGTAATGAAGGAATAATCTCTATATATATTATTTTGAAATGAAATTTTCAAACGATGACCATTTCATTTTGGAATTCTCCAGATTTATAAAGCAGGTAAGTTTTATGATTTTTATAATAAAAAATTTACTTGTAAATAATTTATTTTCTAATTTGATGATAGTTCTCTACAGAAGGGTTTTCTACGTCTGATTAAGAATTAAAAAAATTAAAAAAAAAACAAGCAGCAACAATATGAAAGGTTTTCATTTCAATATTAGGAATTTTTAGAGTCGTTTTTTTATTGTAAGCATTCTTTATTTTACGTTTCTTAGTTTATAAACAATGATATTTTTATTGAAACTTTAAATTTTTTGATAAAAATTGTTGTCAAAAACTTTTTTTTGCAAAATTAATTCATATAATATTATGGGTTTCTGTATATTTTTTGCATATTTTAATGTGGGAAGTAATAGGATTCAGAAAAGTATGGAATGTAAAGTTTAAATTGGCTTTTCATATAAGATTAGTAATTTTGTAGAGTGATTTCGCAGGCATTAGGTTTTAACTCTAATAAGAAGATACATATTGTTTTCTGTTAGTTTACAAATATTTTTCCGATGTGCTTATATGTGTGATGATAAATCAGATAATTTTTTGATAGAACAATAATACACCACAGAAATTTTTAATCCAACATTTCAATTGAAATGTTACAAAAAATGCACCTAATCGAAAATAAAAAAAGAATGCCAAGAAGTGTTATAAAATTTATTTCTATGAGTAAAATAACGAAAGTTTAAATTTTCACATTGAATAAACTAGATGATATGGAAGACCATTGATTTACAAGTTTTTAATAAAAATATAATCTAACAACAACAAAACATCTAACAAATTTTTAAGTAAATTCTTTCAGTATAAAAGGAATATAGCAGCTGATTGGAAAAAATAAATGAAAATAAAAATTCAATGAATTCTTGGTAGTTGTATGCACAGCTCATAAACAAAAAGAACTTCTTCTAAATTGACACGCTTCGATATACACGTTTTAAAACTTTCAAATATTCAAAAGTTGTCCAAAACTCTTTTTTTGTGTGTGCATGCAATTCACTTAAGTAACACTACACTCTAGAAAAATAACTTACTCTCTCAAAAAAATAATAATTTTCATTTTTTCCCCCAACAAATTTTGTTTAATACATTTGTTTCAAATTAGCGTTTCACGTGTGTTTGAATTGGATGAATTAAAGACTGATAATCATCAAGAATTCGAGAAATGGGTGTATTTATAAAATTAAAAATGCTTAGTGAATTTTGCAAAAATTCCAAATCTGGTTCTCTTTATCTACAAAAATTCTCGATATTTAATAATCAGAATTAGGAAAACTAAAAAACTCTGATCAACAGAAATTGGCGATCGATTCTTGGCGATTTTCTTTTCTTCCGTTGCAAAATCATATTTATTTTAGTTTTACGGTGCAGTGACAGGCAAGAACAAGTTAGCCAGGCAAGCCCCGCACAATTATTCAGTTTCTTAAAATATAATGCTGGTGCTCTGACATGAAAAGGTACAGTACCAATACTTTCTATTGTGTGGAAAATTTACATTTTAAAAACTGCTAAAATTGTCTCCGTTAACTTGAAAAACTTTGCCAAATGGAGCAACTTTGCCAGTTTTTTAAAAAAATACAGTTTTGGTGCCTTCACAGAGTTCTCACCCAAGTAATTGAGAAGACTCTTGTATGTCAAAAATCATATTTTAAAAACTAATAAAGTTGTTCTAGTTTACTTAGTTGATTTTATATATGAGCACACTTGTTGCAGAATGAGCTTATTTTGCCTGCAGTAATTTGTTTATATAAAGGAATCCAAGAGCTAATTTAAGTAGTATTATTTAGTGTAATGGCAACTTGTACAAAAGTCTCAATAGGCAAAATATCGACAAATCATCTTTTTCAGAAATATGCAGTAGTACTTCTGAAAAAATTTAAAATTGAATAATTTATTCATATCCAATTTTAAATTGATTACTTGTCAATGAGTGTTGATTTTTTTCTATTGAGACTTTTCATAAATATGATATTCATTCTCTATATTTTTAAAGAATTCTAGTGAAATTTAATTTTCATAATACAGTGAAACTTCCAGGAAAGACCACCTCTCTTTAGCGACCACCTCTACTTACGACCACCTCTAATTTATGAACACTTATGAGAGACACGGAATTTTTTCCATAGACTTTGTGTTGAAGAAAATCTTTAGGAGAGATCATTAAAACCTCTCGCAGCGACCGGGTAAACATTTGCACCAAATGCGGTAAAGGTCAAATAAGGAAACACGAAATATATCAGAACGAAAATGCAACAATACAAATGAGTAGATTAAAATGTATTCGAAAATTTTTTGTGAGGCTCTTATTTCGAGAGCCCTTTTTGAGGATACAGTTGCAGTCAGATTGCTCTAAAGACGATGCTATCAATGATTTACTTTTAGAGTTGGAAGTTATTTTAGAAAAGAAGAGTTAACTTTTGAAAAAAAAACATCTCTAACAGACCTCTTCTCATCTTTTAAATCTAATTTATTTTTATGATATAAAATTTAATGGGAAACTTAAACAAAAAACATAATTTTTTATTTATTTAAAATAACTTTAGCATTCATAATTGGAAAATTTGTTTTTACGCATAATTTTATTAGTTGAGATCATTTTTTATAGACGCTAAATTTTATTCAGTGATCCATCTTTTCATGACGTTTTCACTTCAAGAAAATGTCACTGACTAAAATTAAAATCATTTGCGTAAAATCATGTAACTTCGATAACAATTTTGGAAGTCAATGGAGGTAGACTCTAAGAACAACCAACGACCGTTTTACTGTGGAATGGAGAGTGGTCTCTCCCGAGAGGTTTCACTTAGTAATATACGGATATAGTTAAATAACTTTTTTTGATTGAAATGAGTCATAAATAAGAACCTACTGGCATTAACTACGCCGTTTCTTGAATTCAACAAATCTTGATACAAGTATTAGAAAGTTTCGAATAACTGTCAGAAAGATTTTGCATTTTTTTGTTTACCTTGTTTCGTTTTAAGTGGCGCTCTGACATGTTCACGAAAAAAACCCAATATAGAATAGGTCTGCTCTAAGAAGCATCATAAGATACGGATATAATTGCTATTTTGAAGTGCTACAAACTTTGTTTGATAGGTCACATTATTTATTATTTGTTCATTTACTCTATTGAATAAATTTTGGAATGAAAATTTGGAAGAGATGATTGCGTTTGTAAGTTTTCCCACACTGTAAACCAGCTTTATAAAACAATTCTTAACATTAATAATAAAAAAAACGACGCCATATATATGGATTGAAATATTTTAAAATAAATTAGCTTATGGAAGAAGCACTAGCTACTATAAAATTAAGGTAAAGTTTGCGTATTTTAACATTCACATTTCTGACTAATGACTTTTATGTTCAGTTCGCATATTCTCTCGTTCACAAAGTGAATCAATATTATGTACATCGTCACTGTATACACAAAAGTATCAATCATACAAAAATATTCTCTACAACATTTCGACAGTATAATTTCTTGCTTGGTAGGAAAAAAGAAGACCATTTAAAGTTTTTCAAGATCGAGATGGTCTGTTTCCAGCGACTGGTCTTGGTCTATTTCCTAAAGCGTTTCTGTTTCTAGGCTTAAATAATGCAGAAAATCGGCTTGCTTCAGTTGTGGTAGGCTCCACCGATTCTTCTTCCTCTTCCTCGCTTGTCGTCTCTTTTTCCGGCGCTACCTCTTCTTTGACAACAACTGGAGAAGTTTCCTCCGCCTCCGGTGTCGTAGTTTCTGGCACTTCCGGCTCTGGTGCACGAGATCTGGGAAATCCCGGTCTTGCAGGCCTACTTCTGGATAATAAATTTGAACTGGGTCGTCTGCTAGTCGGTCTTGATCTAACGGGCGATGCTGACGTTGAAGACGATGACGGTCTAGACGTTGAAGTAGAGCTAGTCTGAGATCTAGATCGGCTCGACTGGAATCTTCTTGGAGCTGAAGTGAAGCGGGCTCTGGCAGTGGTGGTTGACACAGTGGTCGATTCGCTAGCTGATGATGATGATGATGATGATTCGATGTTATTGCTTTCAGTTGTTCTTGTGCGTCCTCTGCTGCCTCCAACGGAGGGACGAGACCTGGACCTGTTACTGCCCTGGAAAGATCTCCTAGTTGGTGCGGCTGATGTCGAAGTTGTTGTGGTTGTAGTACTAGATGAGGCATCTCTTGCCGGTGCTCTAGTTCTTGTTGAGGAAAAGGAAGATGGACTGGCGTTAAAACGTCTTCTCCCGTTGGCGATGGGTGGACGTCGACGCGAAGACTTTTCGGTTGGCGTGATTGTTGTTGTTTCAATGGTGGTGGGCGCCTCCGGTTTGACAGTAGTCGTTACGGAATCTTCTGTTCCAGAATTTTCCTCGAATGATTTGGATTCTAAAGCTGAATCCAGCACATTGTTGGATACGTCCTCTTCATTATTTCCCACGTTGGCAAATGCGGCATTGAACGAAGTGCTCTGAGTTGTAGCGTGTGCGATAGACGACACTGGAATGGGTGTAACAGCATCAGTAGGTTTAGCCTCAGTTGTGGTTTCGGCAATTATGAAATTAGGCACTACTGGATATTTAGGCACCTCGTTCGCACCGTACCTATAAACGTTCGATATGGGCTTATGTGTCGGGGCGAAACTGTCGCCAGAACTCTTATCTAGGCTTATCACAGATTCCTTATCAATACCAGAAGCTGAACGGGCTTGAGATGAAGAGCTCGAAACATCAGAAAGATCGGAATTCAACCTGTTACCTCCAGCAATTACAGCGTCGGAATGAATAGGTTTAGAATTAGCATTATTCTTTTCTTTGGCAATTCTGTCCTCATCGTAAGATTCCAGGGAGGGAATATCATCGAAACTCAAGTTAGTATTGGGCGTTGTGTCGTTATCGTAATAGTAATAGTAGTAAACCACATATTCGTCTTTAGCTGCGTCTTTTTCTTTTGCTGGTGAAGGTGACTTAGACTGGATCTCGGACGCCGGGGCTTTGTTTATGGCCTGGACTGGGACATAAGATATGGCTTTTGAGTGAGAATCTCCAGAGACTTGATGGAGTCCAAAAGCCTGATTGTTGTTGTTTGGTTGAAGGTGCAATGGAACAGCAGGTTCTGCTTTAGAGAGATCCCCGAAGGATATTGGAGGATGATAGAAGTTCGATGGTGCAGGTGTGCTCACGAGGAATGGTGGCTGGTATGCGTTGTGCTCCAGATTCTGAGGAACCTGTCGGCGGGCACGAGGAAGAGCACCTTCTGTTAGAATCACCAGAGCAAGAGAAACGATGCAGATTATGGGAAGGCGTCTGTAATAAGAAAGAATGTTAATATATGCATGACAAAAAAGAAATTCAATAATTATTCATTTTTATGCAAGGATACCCATTTAAAATGATAACATATGTTACAGTCAGTGGTCGGAAGTAGCGCGCTACAAGTAGCGAAACTACTGTAGTCGCTACTTTTTCCGTTGTTTGTAGTTGTAGTGCTCTACTTTTTAAAAGAAGTGTAGTCAATAGTGCGATGTTAAAAATAGTAAGTAACTTGTAGCGATTTCTGGCAACTATTTTAACGTTAGTTCAATAAAGAAACAAAGTTCAAACGCAAAAAAAAAATCTCGAATCTGATTGGCTTAAATCCTTTGGGGGGGGGGGACGTCACAGTGCGCAATGATAATGCCTCTGTGGCCAAGCGTTGATGAGATCTACGTCTGATGCTCGGAAAAATCGGTGCGAAATCAGTCGAGTTGTTCCCGAGAAATCGAATTTTAAATCTCTGACTTTTTTAAAATTTGATTTCTCAGGAACTCTTAATTACGTTTATGTGTGTGATTTCTTAATTTAAAATATTGTCCTAATTAATTAGCATCAACGCGGTTTTCTCCTCAAATCATTAAGATTGAGTCCCAGAACGTGAAGATCCGATCATTATATCAATCGTTATTCAGGGTGATCAGTTTTTTGTTTTTCGCACTGTACTTAATTTTTTGGAGGCTCTAAAAATTGTGAGGTGTACAAATTTTTACAGCATTTTAAACAACGTAATTTTATTATGCAAAATACGAAATTTGAGCAAATTGGTCAAATAATTCCTGAGAAATTGAATTTTAAAAAAAGTAATATATTCAAAATTCGATTTCCTGATCTAAATTGATGTAAAAATTTGCATATCTTATAAATATAAAAACGATATAGATACCCTCATGGAAACGGAAGTGAGTTCACGAAAACGTAATAATGGTTATAGTAAAAGAATTTAGTTTTTACGTTTCAAAATATAATATAATGTATCTTACTTCTGTATGTCTCCTTTGCTTTTGACATAATGATCATATAAATTCTGATTATTTCATTTGCTGTTTAAATTTTTAAATATATTTCCTGCCTTATTTGAGAATATTTGCGAAATTTATACGAAACATGGTTTTATCGTCACTCGCTGTAACTCGTTAACCCCTGAACCAGTTTTCACAGTTTCTTTCGGACGGCATCGTAACCAGTGCCCGCTCACTAGCCGCTTACCGAAACAAAATAGTCTAGTATATTTCTTTTTAAGTCTGAGGGAAGTATATTTAGCACGAACTTTATTAGTTTTAAATCTCGATGGGAATCTATTTTACCACCAACAATTTAAGAGGCTACCTGCTAATAAGTAATGCTAATAAAAATACTAAAAACAACCAATGAAGAAGGCTTTGTTTACATAAATGTGGGTTACAGATTATGGGACGATACGGAGAAGCTATTTTCCCTATTGCGTTAAGCGTTCGTTAATTTGACTATTTCTCATCGAGTTTATTTGTGGTTATAAAATCAGAATTTATAAATTTGGTTATTTATAAGCACAGAAGTTCAAGCTTGTGGCATATTCCTTACAGTAGCAAAAATTGTGCACAATCCTCAGGCCACTTTCCAAACAAAATCAAATTACGAGTACTTTTAGGTAATAAGTTGGATATATTTTTTTTTATAAATCAATCTCAATTTTAAAAGTATTTTAATATAGCACATATACAGACCAATACTGCCAACCATATGAGCAATAGTCGGACTGCAAACTTATACATCCCAAAGCAGTTATAGGCACAAAATTTATAATAAATATCTGTATTTCTTTTCTATATTAAAATACACAGGATTTTCTATAGGTGCCCATAAAGAGCATGTACCCGCTCCCCACTCCTAACTGGAAATCTAAATAATATAAAATATTATGGTTTGCTGTAACTGTTATTAATTTATTAAAAAAAAAGAACAATTATAAATAATGCGTGCTGTTATGAATCTATTTCGATTCATAGAATGGAAGCAAAATTTTCTTTTTTCAATTTAATGCTATAAATTTTTTTTTTATTTAGAAGATGCAACAAAAAAATACTTAATAAAAATTAACTAGATAATTAAAATAATTAACTTACAAAATTATAGAATACTCACTGCTTCTTCTTTTGTGTTCATAACATTTTTGATTAAAATAATAAGATGTTGAAACAGAATAATTTTTTTTGTTATAAAATTTTAACGTTGTAAATACATATAAATGTAAATTTTTAATCGAATTTTGTTAGTTCCATAGGTTTCAGATAAATTATTGAAATTATTATTGAAAATTTATGATGCCCAAGTGTAAAGTTACTTTTCAGAAGGAATAATAATTATACGCTATTTTTGAAATATTTTATGAATATTTTCACTTGTTGCATGCTGCCCCTGAGAAAATTACTGCGGAGTGCTTTTGCGGACTTATCAGGTAAAAAGAACTTACCCTTATTCATTTTTTCTGAGAAAAGAATTAAATTTAGATAAAAAGATTGTGCAGATTGTAAATAATATAGTGCGGATGTGTGTTTTCTATAAAATAAGTAAATTATTAAGAATTTGACACCGATGATTGGCATTGCTATTAATGCTCACGTGCTTCTTGTTTTGTTAAAAATTCTGTAATAGTTAGTAGTTTGCTGTAGAGAATGGTGGCCATGTAAACACAATTATAGAATATGCTTCATTTTTAAGTATCCAATATATTTTCAGATTTTGCTGGTATTTTTCTATTGTATTGCTTTCAAAATGTAATGATTTTTCTTTTTGATTTTTAATTGAAGGAATAATTGCTTTCAAGAAAGATTTCATAAAGTAATTTTAAAGGTAACTTAATGATTTGTGATCCTTACAAATAGCAAAAAGAGTGACTTCAGGAAATTAAACTTTTTCTTTACACTTTCAATTATTAAACAACTCTATACAATGTTAGAAACACGATCAAATCATTATTATTATAAATTATCGACAAAATTTCCATGCTGTTGCATTACCTACGTTTGTGGTTAACTTAGATATGCATGATAATTCTCGAGAATTAAAAATGTATATCGAGAATTAAAAATAGATTTCATGGTTTCTTTTAAGAATAAAAATATTCTTTTTTATTCAAAATTCACTGCTCATTAATTTTTCATGTTTATTTCAGTTGTACTTTTTTCAGATAATAGTCAAATATATAATCTGTATTTAAGAAACGATCTTGATTTACAATGATATTTACTATGATGTTAATTTATAATGATACCGTTACTAAAGGCATCACAAAGACGCAGAATTACCTTTCATTAGTTTTTATATATATAGGTATTAGTGACATTTTATTCCGTATAGTTTACACAAAAAAAGTTTTATTACTTTAAAATTGCTTTTTTTAATATTACAAACGGTTTATTTTCAAATTCTTTTTCTTTCAAAACAGCAGATCGTCTGCCATTTTTCAATCAAATTGTGAGACATTGCCATCGGTAAGAAACAAATTCCGCTGTCTGTGCGAGGTTAAGTTAGAGATTTTTATTTTTACGCAAATATATGCAACTTTGTACATTTTTCTACACCCCATCGTGATTTCAAATTTTCTCGCATTTTTGAACAGCAAAATAAATTGCGACAAAAAGAAAAAAAGCCAATCAAAAAATTTCGAGCTCACAAAAAAAAAAAAAAAAANAAAAAAAAAAAAAAAAAAAACTTTAAATTAGAATTTTGAAAAATGCTTATATTGAGCTCATAATCGGCAATTTTCAACTCGTCACATTTCAAATCTGAAATTGCATTTCTGTGGTCTGTAAAACGGCACGCATAGTATTTATTACTACAAGTTTAACACTTTATAATTCTTGAACTATTTATCAAATGTCAACTTTTTATTTTATACTACTGCCTGTACATTTTTATGCATCTCATCATAATTTCAAGTTCTTAAGTCATCTTTTTAAGCAGCAAAACAAATTGTAACTTAAAGTTGAACATATAAATAGCGGCAGCAGTCAGTGACTCTTACGATTTTTTAACCATAAAATCTTACAAAACTGTTACAATTCATTTCTGAATGGCTATTTCGAAAATTAAGAATTGGCATTCTAGATATTCTAGATTTTATATTTATTTTTAGCGAACCTAGATATTAGATTTGCACAGAATTTATTACTACGCAAACTTAGATATTAGACTCGCATACTATTTATTACTACAAGTTTAACACTTTATAATTCTCGAACTAATTATCAAATGTCAATTTTTTATTCCATCGTACTCCCTGTACATTTTTAGATACATTCAAGTTTCTAAGTCATCTTTATAAGTTGTGAAACAAACTGTAACTTATAGTTGAACATAAAAAAACAGCGACAGTTGTGACTCTTACTATTTTTTAACCGTAAAATCTTACAGAACTGTTACAACAATTATTAAGAATTACTTCAAGATGCTACAATAAGTATTAAGAATTGACATTCTAGTGAGTCTAGATTTTAGATTTATTTTTATCGAACCTAGATATTAGATTCTCATACTATTTATTACTAAGCAAAATTAGATATTAGATTCGGAAACTATTTATTACTACGCAAACTTACATATTAGATTCGCATACTATTAATTACTACGCAAGCTTAGACATTAGATTCGCATAGTATTTATTTTACTATAAGTTTAACACTTTATAATTCTCAAACCAATTATCAAAAGTCAATTTATTATTCCACTGTACGTTTTTATAAGCATTCAAATTCCTAAGTCATCTTTATAAGTAGCGAAACAAATTGTAAGTTGAAAAGTTGAATAGATAAAAACAGCGGCAGCAGTCAGTGACTCTTACGATTTTTAAACCGGAAAATCTTACAAATCTGTCAAAACAATTCATTTTTGAATGCCTATTTCGAAATTTAAGAATTGACATTCTAGCGAATTCTATAGCATTTTAAATTTAGGGAATTACTGTCGGAATTAGTGTTCGTTACGGGGAAATAACCGGAGTAATAGTGTTTGAG